TGGGGGAACTCCATTCTCACTTTCGACTGGTTGGTGGTGGTCGCACCAGAATGACGAATTGGTGGAAGTTAGAATTCATGCACTGGTCATTGAATTGTGTCTTGTTGGCTGAATGGTATACGAGCTTGCCTTGTAACCGGAAGGTCCTGGGTTCGAACCCTGTTGGTGGGTGCGTACTGCCGATAAGTCCCAAACTAGAACTAAATAGCTTACTGTCCAGCACCACATGCTGGTTTTCAGTGGTTCTTTAACTGATATCAATCGTTGGTCTAACCTCAAACTTAATTATAAGTCAATAAGATGTTCTCTTTTTTATTATATGTGACTAAAATCGACTAAAAGTTTGCTGTTTCTCGTTTGGTTTTCTTTTCATTTAAGGGCGCGAATAGATCAGCTGCAGCACGCAACCGGTCTTGGGTTGCATGTCCTTTGTGTAGAAGAGATATTCATCATCTGCTGCCTCTAGTAGCAATGCCAAAGTCGAATGGAGACGGTAAACAGAATCCATTCCCTTCTGTAGAATATGCTGAACATAATATTACCACCCTGTTAAACCTACTAGTAAGTTACTATATACTTTTATTCGCCCTAACGTGTTAATTTGTTTTGTGACTGTTGCATACTTTGGCTATGCTAAATTAAAGGTTATACATATGTCGACTGATCATTGAAATTTTGATTGTTGTTTAACTTGACTCTCGCTTATATTCTTACCTTTTGTGTTGTAGTGGCCTTATATATGCGTGTAGATGTCAAGTATCCACTAACATTTCCCCATTTCTCGTTATATCATTTCAGTATACTTTAGGAAATGAAAATTTTTTGCTTTCTCTCACAGTCAAATTATATTTGCATAGGAGGAAATATAAAAGAACTGAACGTCTAGTGGATCTCATAGATATTATCAAACTGTATGTATTACTGAGATAATTATAATATCATTATGATGGTGTTGATATATAACTGTTTCCAAACTGATGCGTCTTATTTTCTTTCATTTCTATTACTACAACTCTAGCCTTAATTTTCACAATTAATATGTAGATATTATAATAGCAGGCCCAAAAATTCGAACAGACCGCTAAGGTCAGGTTCGTATATGAACTCATGTGAAAAATGGGCCAAATCCATATTATCTAACTCACATCACCCTCTTCACTCACAACTCTTCTCTTGCATCTCATCAGGAAAAACCACAAGCCTATATAGAAAACTATATGCTCGCACCAGCAAGTACAAAAGCTGAACCATACCCTACCTAGCTCGTGTTCTGTGCGATAAAGAAAGCATTAGGCGTGACACCTATAATTCATTAAATAGTCAGTAGAACAACTGGACCTCGTCTTTCCAACTCACATCATTTATAGATACAAAGTTTTCTTTCTTTTCCTCCTCTTTCTCTCTCTTTTTTCTCCGTTATGTGCTGCTTTGTTTCTTTCTTCCGCTTACGCCAGTAAATATGATAGCACCTACTTTTCTAACACCTTCAAACACTGTTCAAATTTGGCTTTGCTACCGACATGCCAATATGTTGTCATAATGAACTGAGATTTCCTTAATCTATGTAGAATTCTATTTATTGATAATGTACTAACTGGATGCAATACTGTAGTAAAAATGCTGAGAATTCCATTGTGTATCACAAGTAATGTTTTGGAATAAAGCAAATTATTATTATTATTATTATTATTAGACATTATCAAACTGTATGTATTACTGAAATAATCATAATATCACTATGATGGTGTTGATATGTAACGGTTTCCAAATTGATGCGTCTCATTTTCTTTTATTTCGATTACAACTCCAGTCTTAATTTTCACAATTAATCCTACTGTTGTCTACTTGCTGGACTTTTCGCCTTTGTCTATTTGTTTGTGGAAAAAATTGCTACCTTGGCAACAAGGCGTATGCTTATGACTTCAGATTGTCTTCAGTTACGTCTAATCTTAATACACATTAGAATACTTCTTTTTTACCCTTCGCTTCTCTTTACGTCTACATCTCGTAAGCATCGTGATTATTATTATCATTATGTTTCTTTTATTAATTCATAGAATGTATTACCGAATACCGGTTCAACTATCTGGAATGATTTAAATGGTCCCGATGATGAATTAAACCTTCAACGTCGAGTTCTTTTGTCCCCACTAATTGGTGTTAATTATGAAGCTACAGTATTGTTAAGGTATCCTGTGCATATATTTTTTCTTTCTTTTAATTTATGTATTATTATATTTATTCTTTTCATTACCACTTGAGTCATAAGAACACTCTTGTCTTTTGCAATCATAAGTTGATACATTAACTGTATCTAAATATGGAGATATAATTATTTATTTTAGTTTCTAGAGTGGTTTTTCGATTTGCGTTCTAAGTGTAAGGAGATTAAGAAAATCTGATATCATACAGTGTCTACTTTCTAAGTTAGTTAATTCTCTTGTATTCTACCTATTCCTTTTTTAATGTCCCCCCTTAATCTTTCCTGGGCTACTCTAGGAAGACTTTGTTACACTGCGAAAGGCACTAAAATCTGTCAGTAGGGTGTTGCTAAACCAACTCGTTAATACTATTGTAGATAAACAGATGGACTCCTACCAGAAATTTGCAAATATTATCGTGTCAGACCCTGAGCATCCTCTCTATACATTACTCTCTCCTTACATTTCATCTGGTAAAACTAGAAGCAACTGCAGAAGACTTTATGCCCGAAGAACTAAGTTGTAAAAACTCTACAATGCCTTATTTAGCACACATTTTACGTGGATGAGAAAAGTGTAAGGCATGATGGATTTCAGTGGCTTAATGGTATGCGAAGTTGCTTTGTAACTGGAAGGTCCTGGGTTCGAACCCCAGTGCGTACTGTAAGGCATGACACCACTAACACAATATTATATTGTTGCTAATATTTTATTATAATAATATTAAGTTTGGCTTTATATTCATATTTTTATTTGATAATATTACTAATGTACATGCCCTGTTTAATTATTACCTCTGTATTATATAATGCGAAAATTAGATGCACTATTGTATTACATCCTGAAAATTCCGTATTTGTGTGGAAATTACTCTCTGGAACAAAGCTGTTATTATTATCGTTACCATTTTGTTACATGAAAAAGCGGACAATCGTGAAATTTGAATTCAACACTATTTTAAGATAGATGTCGAACTGATTTCAGTTAAAGAACTATTGAAAATCAGAGAGTACTGTACTGGACAGCTGTCTAGTACTCCTTTATTGCAACCCTTCAACACCGTTTACTGAAGAGTGTTAGAGTTTTTATAATAAATGATATGTATTACTCATTGATCAGTATTGATCATTCACTTCTTTCTCAGAGTTTAAACTAGCAGTAGGAGTTAGTGAGCGAGTTAGTTAGTTAGTTATCATTTTATGCCTGAAAGGTGCTAATCGCATACAAAACACTATCAAGTTTTGCTATCCTAAATCTCCGAAAATACTTCATTTTGTTGGACAGAATCATGTACGTGGATTTTGTGAAACTACAAGTCATTCTCTCTTGTGTATAGAAGCGTATACAGAAATGCACTAGTTCAACATATATCACTCCTACTAAGCAAAACAAGAAGTCAAGAGAAAGTAAACTGAAATTATTATTATAGGTAAAACATGGTGTGTTCAGAAAAAAAGCATTCCATCAAACTCTCAACAATGCACTGACAAATATTGTTTTCAAAACTAACTGTCCATAGTCACTCATTCTGTACATAATTTTATTTTAAGAAGTTACACATGGTTAAGGCATTTCGCGAAACTGAGACTATCCTACTCAAACTGCGGCGTTTTTCCCACATGATACAATCAATGCAAAAATCACAGTTCATATTTACTTGTAGGTTGTCTAGAGAAATACCTTCTTCATTTTTTCGGAAGGGGGAGGAACGTGTGTTGCTTTCGAATATTACATTCCAGACACATTCCATCTAAGTTTTAGTAGATGTTTTGTGGTAGCCAGAGAAAAATTTGTCTAATTTCTAGTGGTTAGCTAAAAAGAACACTACTCGTAGCACATAACAACGACATAAACATCAATTCGTGTGTGATGTCAAAAGCAATACATCTTGCAGAATTCTTAGCATGGTCTATTACAAAGTATTTATTTCAGGATTTCTTTATGAGTTGACATCGTTTAGAGAACCATTAGAAAACCTGGGACTGCGACTCTTTATCTGTACCCACCCACCGGGGTTCGAACCCAGGACCTTCCGGTTACACAGTGAGTTCGTATACCATTAAGCCACTGGGACTCTAAGTAGCTTAGTGGATAGCGCTTGTGTATTTGAATTGATGGGTGCTGGGTTCTAGTCTCAATAGGACCACTATAACCCACATCCAGCTTACGGCTCATCCTGGATTCAACTATTAGTCTTTATCCACCTAACCACATCATAAGACGGTTTCGTTTATAACGTAATAACAGCTTTTCCTTTCATTGTCTGTTTAATATCATTTCACATTCCTGATTATATACATATATATACCTGTTTTTCCTTAAGTGTTTGCCTTTCATACTTATCCTCGATTGCCTCCTTTATTTTTTTCCTTTTTGATAAACACCACCAATACTAACAGATCTCAATTGGAATGTGAATTAAGCGTATTAATGAGTTTCCCGTCACAGTATTCAATGGTATCACGTCGTTGCTACTGGCGTAAGTCACTGTATAATTTTTCTTCTTAATACAGAATCAAGTATTGTTAAATAAATGAGTTAAAGAGTTTGACCGGTTAAAATATGAATGGTATGTGCGTATTTGTGTTACCTATTGAGTATTCCTTGTGACATTTGCCAACCTGACATCATCTTTGGCGTAGACTTGGTATCCGACGATTCATCAAAGAACGTTTGTACTGAACAGCAGTTTGCTCCGATCTCCTTCATGACTGTGAATGAGACTTGGCTATTGACAATGGACTACATGTCTGTAACCACAGATGTTTGCGTACTGTCTCTCGTATTAATTAGTATAATATGGTGAGTAATATTTAGGTTAGGAGTGGAGTGCTAGGTAAGAAGGGTAAGTCAGTTGATGAGTTTGTGAAGGTGAATCGTTTGAAATGGCTAGGATACGTGCTGCGAACACCGAGCCATCACCCTACTCGACTGGCAGTGTTAAATGACATTGGATTAGGTCGCAAAAGAGTTCGAGGTGGTCAGACCAAAACGTGCTATTGGTCCATGAAATCTCTGACTGTTGATTTGAGCCACGAAGAGATGTGTAGGCTGTCTGGTCAGAGTTCTCGGGATGCTAAGAATTAATAGCTAAAAACTGTTGGTGATATGGCTCAAAATTTTTCTCAGTGATGAAGATTTATGCGTTCTTTGTGACCTCCCATACCTGCTAAAACGTCGTCTTTTTCCATGCTACTATTCTATCTCCTTCACATTTCTTCCTTTTATAGTTCTTTTCCCTCTCTCTTTTATCTACCTTAGTGTGCCTCATGGAATGTGGCAACTTGAAATGCTGCACTTTTGTGCAAAGTTCTCTGTTGAAAAGTAGTCAGTCATTCCTTGATTGAAGCATTTTCAGAATTGGTTTAGATCCTAAAGATATTCTGTAAAAGATCGAGAAATAGGTGCACTACCTTTTTGATAAAATTAGCGTTGGTACATAGTTTTTTTCTATTGAAACGGTAACGTAAGTGAGGCTTGAAGAAAATAAGCAGGTGCGCTTTATAGTTTCATATAAATCCCTATAAGTGACTTAGGTTTCCGTTGTTTTATGCTACTCTAACTTACGAATATTGTGAAAGAGATTTTGTATAACTTTTATGTTTGTCTGATCAGCCGTTCTTCTGATTTTTATTTGATGTTCGATATAGTTGATTCTGTCTGTTTAATCTTTAGTATTCCCCTGTTACTGCGGCCTTGTTTCATAAGTGTGTGCCTCCAAATCACATGAACACGTATTTGCTAGTTACTGTAAACAAACACAATTTCTCAGTTTTGTCCACTGCAGATATAATATGACCAGTCATGACTTGTTAATTCCGCTTACTTAATTAAGTTTTTAACGTCGTCACTTCTGTCTTTTGCTTATTGATTGCAAGCAGTAATAGTCATGAAATTATGTTGATATTTATCGTCGGAAGTTACCTTAAAGTTCCTAAAATTTGAAAGCAGTAACCATAATAATGAATTCGGTAGATCATTAGGTCAGTTTACTTTATCAGGTTTAGAACTTAATCGTGGGATTTACAAAAAAGAAATGAATTCACGCCTTATAAATTGGGCTATTTTTGTATCTTTATTAGGATTGGTGATTATTGAAGTTGATGAACTGATAACTTAAATAGACAATTCTAAAAAAAAAGTATGTTCTTCTGTTACACGTAATTGAATAACGCAATCAGACACCAATCTATCTCATATTTTGCTCTGAATCTGCCTGATTCAATAAATTACCCAGTGAAAGTGTCGCTTAAAATGTTATGCCCATGATAAGTTGTTTAAACTCAGTAGAATTCATCTTTCTTTTAATCTCGTGTATTTTTTTCAGGTGAATTTATCTCATATCTTCGTCAGATTTATAAATCGTCATCTGATATTCAGAGTTTAATACTGTGTCTTATGGCTGATGATGTCACAAAGCCGGACAATGTCGCGTAAGCGCCTTTATGTTTTATTACTACTCTCCTGGATGATATTTTGATTTTGCAACCATAACTATAAACATTTTTATTTATCACTGTAGAGTTTTTTTTATCATAGTGAATTAGTGTATTTCGTAGGTTGTGAAAACTCCTGTTTCGGTATAAATATATTTAAATTTTAACTTATATCAAAGACAAAATCATGAGCAAGAACATGTTTCGCGTAAATACAGCTTCGAAGTGACCTTTCACCTAGAAGTGCAAATCATACATCGGACATTAAAATTTTAAATAAGCTTGGTGTGCTTAGTTAACGACAGTTGAACTCGAAAATCTGCCAGTCCTACTATCATGATTCTTCCTGCAATTCCTTATTTGTATTTGATGTGAATATCCACTCTTGATTGTTCTGTTTCAGCTATTGTCCTCATTAATCTGTGTAGAATGCTGAATAATTTCTGTTATTGGTGGTCACAGTTGCTCCATTCCTTTCATTGCATACGTTGACCTCAATGGCTGACGTTAAGACAATAGGTTCTGTGTCCAAGGTCCTAGTGCAACATTAGCAACCAAAAAATATTATAAACTCATCCTGTAAACGTAACTTATGACTCACCTAGTGGGTCGCATAAGATTGTTGTTGATTGTCTTTCATAACTCAGGTACTCAGTGCAACTTTTTACACTACTCTGGTAGCTTTATTTGAAATCGTGATAAATTTTTTACTGTGATCAGTAATGTATTCTTTGTATCATGAATTTGCCCAAGTAGTCAGTGAAAATTCGGGTAGTTTGAACTGACTTAGTTTTCTGAGCTGAGTCTATCTTGTAATGTCGCATATATGCTTAGTCTCAAACAACTGTTCATTGTTTGGATCACCAGATTCACTCTAACAGTCAAAACTGGTAGATGTGAGTAGTTGTTAGCTACTCCATCAGTTATTAATGTATACCACCTTGCCATACTGATGGTTCTTTTTTGATGTGTATTGTTATCGAAGCATAGAAATCTGTGACTGCATTATATAATCTATGGTTATCGGTAAATTCATCACTAAACAATGAAACTGATGTAATCTGTATCCCACTAATCCAAGGTCCCAAAGACCATCAAGTTAAAAGTACTTTACTGTACTCGACTTCTGTCTGACTGTGACCTTTATGTACAGTTCGAACCTTTCATTCTATTTTGGAAAAAATAATATCACATCAAGTGTCATTTTTTTTCGTTATTGTTTTTTTTTTAAGGATCCCAATGTTTGCTTTATTACAAGATCCAGTGGATATTCTACTTGGATTATTACCTCATATTTGGCCACGTGAAGGTAGGTTGATTAACCTTATTGTAACTATAATATTGTTTGAAGTTGGATTTCACCAGGTATATAAACTGCTGAAAATTCTGTGCAGTAAAGATATGATTATTAATTTGCCGCAAGCTGATGTTAATCAACAACCCTGAGAAAACTTAGTTCTGTATGATTAAAATTGTGAGATAAGCTTTTTAATTACACCTCAGAAATACTTTAGCCACTAGATGTTGCATCACTTCACTATTTGTGTCAAGGATAAAAAGCTTATCAAGAATAATGACCGGATGTGTAACAAAGTGTTTAGTCTTTCAGTTTTCATCACTGAGGTATGTTTTTTGATCGCCTTCCACGATGGTCGGTCGGTTTTCAACATAGAACTTTGCACATATGTGCGGCAGTTCAAGTCGCCACACTCCATGTAGCACACAAAGCAAGCGAAGAAAGTAGGAGAAATGCATAATATAGACAGTAAACAGAGGTGTGAGACAAAGGTATAGTAATAACGAAGAACAAAGCAGTTACACTGGAATTCATAAGTCACAAGGAGTGGATGCATCTGCACTAGCCATTGAGAACGATTTTGAGCCATGTCACCAATTGTTTCCAACCATTGGTTTTTACCGTCCCGAGGACCCCAACCAGGAAGTCTACACCTTCCTACGTGGCTTAGACTAACTGTTGTAGATTTCATTGACTGGTGCCATGTTTTGGTTTGACCGCCGCTAGCTCTTTTCCAGCCTGACCCTATATCAGCTAACATTGCCCATTGTCGAGGAAGGCGATGACTAGGCATACGTAGCACATGTCCTAACCATCTGAGTCGATGTAATTTCACAGTCTCGTCGACTGATTTCCCCGCCTTACCTAGCACTCGACGCCTAACCTCAATATTGCTCACCTTATCATACCACTTCACACGGGAGATAGAACGCAGACACCTATGATCAAAGACAGCTAATCTTTTCATGTCTTCCGCTCTCAATGGCCAGGTCTCACAGTCATAAAGGAGAACTGAGCGGACTGCTCTACCACTTCACTTCCTATTTCTAATCTAGGAGTAGGTGTATTCCAATCCTGTAACATCACCTTACATTTTACAGGGGCGAATCGCATACCAAACATTCGCAGATTGCAGCTCAAGGTGTTCAGAAGACTCCGCATTTTGTCAACGTCCTCGCCTAGAAGGACTATATCGTCCGCATATTCTAAGTCAACGAGATTATTCCCTGGTATCAAGTCAATCCCTGAGTCTCTGAAGTGAGTTAGGGTTAAGTCCATTAGTACATCTATGATGAAGTTGAATAGAAATGGGGATAATGGGCATCCTTGACGGACGCCACTAGTCGTCACCACTTCAGATGACAACTCGCCGTAAGCTCTCACCTGGTTGCACGAGTACGAGTAGAGTTAGTGCCTTAATCAGTGCAATGTATTTTCTCGGCATTCCTTTTGCAGCCAAGCATCGCCAGAGAACCTCTCGGTCGACAGAATCGAATGCCACCTTTAGGTCAAGAAATATAATGACCTTCCACGATGACTACGCTTTATGTGGAAGTGTCAACTGTTCTATGGTTTATACCTTCAAGAACAGTGGATGGTTACTCAGATAAATATTGGTGAACGTAGCAGATACATATGCTTCATGCATGTGTATATTGTATGCTGACATTGGCTTTGCATATCACGTATATCAAATCGGCAGTCATAAAAAAAGATTTTAATCAAGGTCGATATAATTGATCTGAACCTATGGCCTATGCATTCTCAGACCGGTGCTATAATGTGTTGTGATAATTACTGAAAGATTTCTACCCTTCTGCATGGGTAATTTCGAGTATGATGCCTGGTATTATCTTCATTGAATTAGTTGCCCGAAAATGACTTCTCTCACTAATTCAAATTATTTTTCAGATATTGGGTTTGTTGGGATATATATAATTAATTTCATTGTAGACTTGTTTAAGTTTCAAAATCTGTCAGCTAATCAGTAAAATCCAGTCTATCAGTTTTAACATTCCTCAGTCCACTTTTTATAGTCATGGGCATCCAATATCATCTGTCCTCGAATCCTGAACGTTGGTAGACACTACTGGTTACGATCCATCTTGCAAAATTTAGGAAAACTGTCTCAAAACCAATTACTCATGAGCAGATTCGCTTGTTAGTAGATTAATTATATGAGATAATTTTTGTTTGTCGAATTCATCATTGTTGTAAGCATACAGGAATTTATTTCGACTTCCACCCATTGGTAATATGCTCATCGATGGTTCCTCATTCTGTCTGTGAAGAGATCATTGTATGTGAATAGCTGAAGAGTTACATAATAGTGCTCTTCAGTTCTCCAGTTGAGAACAATTTTTGATTAAAGCTCTTTAGAAACATAACACATTATTGGTGAACACTGAGTTTAAACGCACTATTATTATGCTACTGACGAAATGACGTGAGTAGTTTGATGCTACTCAAATCAATGCATGGCAGTTTGATCGAAGTGATGTAAACATTAGGCTGCTGTTTCACTCACTTGGGCTCAAGATCAACAATGGCGTACCCAGCTGGGAGAGCCGAATTTGCGAAATTGAACACTGGGTCTTTGATTGGACACTAGTAACTAGTGCGATGTGTCTAGTCCTTACTTCGGTGCAGACTGAATTCTATCAGTCAGGTTTACTATATGGCCACCATTCTAGGGGTAGCTCGCCATCACAATGCACATTGATTTGATGATTAATTAGATGATGAGCCCGAATAGCTCAGTGGTAACGTCTCTGACTGCAGTACTGGGTGACGCGGGTTCGAATTTCAGAAGGGACATCAATCCCTTCAAGGTTGCAGATACACCTTGCTGACTGAGTGCCAACTAGCACGAAACCTAGGTCCAAGGATTCCTGCCGATTGCCTCCAAGCATCTTATATGAACACTGGGTCTGTTATTTATTTTAAGTAGTGAGTTAAGTATTAAATTCTTTAAATATTACAATACTCTTTCAACCATACATGATGTTTGCAAATAAATATGGGACCTAGGTCGAGCTTTCTCACTCAGTGTATCTTTAAACATGGTGGAACTGATATCCAGAAATTCGAATGAGACGCTATAAAATAACTCATCTGTAATGCTTGTTTTACAATACACATATATAGTTGTACTAAATTTTTTTATTGTCATTTCTCTTTTGTTTTTTCTTTCAAAACGTTTACTTCGTGACAGATATATTCCACACAGTGTTAGCACTAACATTTTGCTTAGCCTATATACGAGCACTTATCAGTGTTTCATTCAATCGACCAACTAAATCTACATCTTTCAGTTTATCTGAGCAAATCAATGCCACTCGACATTTGTTGGGTAAAGTGAGTCACTTACTGTATACGTTTTAAACATAGTAACCTTTTCCACGGGAATTTCTCCTATCAAGGTATTATAAAAAGAAAAAAAGAGGGCGAACGGTTGAGTAGAGTGTTTTTTAACGATTTCATTTACTTCGAGTGTGTACAGTGGCGAAGAGGCGTGAATCGTGATCAGGTGCAATAATGCAACAAAAGCTTAGAAAGCGATTGTACAGCAACAACAAAATATTTGTTAGATGAATTGTTTTCAAGCTGAGCATTGAAACTGGAGGAAAATGATATTGTGGTATGTGCTACTGACAGGATTTGTAAGTAGTATATATATGTCAGCTGGAAGAGTATTAAATAGCAGAAGGATAGATTTAAAGGCGAAGAGAAGAAATTGAAGATTCTTGTGTAACAACATAGAAAGCATGAAAAGACGCACAATATAAAGGACATGAGCGAATTGTGATTTCAGTATTGAGTAGAAGAACTTTGGCTATGTATATCAAGTGCTCTTGTGTCCTGACGTTACAATATCACTTATAAAATAAGTAGAATAAAGGATAAAGTAAATGTATTCATGACGTGGCGGCTTGCATAAATCACTGGTCTACAAAATTCATTACATCCATCAAAGTACATCATGCTCACTGTATTTCATATTACCTCGATTTATTTATTTTATTTTATTATAGCTTGACTCCACACAGTATTTTAGATAAAAGTATGGAATTTTCAGCATACCATATCGGTAGCCCAAATTTAGCAGGCCGACCATTGACATCAAATGTGCGTCGGCTGGAGATTGAACCCTGGACCATGTGCATGGTCGGTGAGAGTCCCAACCACTGTGCCACCAGCGCATCTTATTATGTCAATGAATCACAACCTACCATTGCTCCCATATTCAAATAAGTTTCCATCTACCGATACAAACGTTTTGAAAAAAAATGGGAAGAGAAACTCCTCGGAGTAATCGAGCATGCTTTGGACGGAACAATAATCGAAACGATGAGAGGTTGAATAGATATTTTTTTAACAGGCAAAGCTCTATCTTCGTCATTTATGGGGATGGTTAGTGGTCCCCTCAACGTCTAATAAATAGAGACCTTGATAAATTCACTACAACATCCTTGTAGCCTTAATATAATAAGTATTTTTATGTTCAAATAGGGTTGTCGAGTGTCAAGTGTACATTGAATTAATAGTTATTCTTTTAAATATGTAGTTCGTATTCCAATATTTAGGTTTTTATTGTTTGTATATTTACATTTAGCAAAGAAAATGTGATGTATTTTTCATTAGTGAAACATGAGTCGAAAGGGATTTTTCCTCAGAAAGTATTCCCCATGTGTCTGAAACACTTATACTTTGTTCACAGTGGATGAATACGAAATTATCACACACAAACAATTAAGTAGACATTGACTGTGTGAACTGTATTCACTGAAGCAATGTGTGTTTACCACTTGTGTATAAGTGTGAAGTCAGAATCTAACACTAGCTATTTTGATTTCATTCCTATACGTTCCAAGTGGAACATAGAGCTTCAAGCTAGAGGCTTGAAGTTTCGGTAGTAGTGGTATCTATTCTTACGGGATGGGGTTGTTAGCCTCATGGCCAACCTTTCCTCTTTACCGGCATTACTACAGGCTTAGCGAGGTTTCGGAGTACGTTGGCCAAGGATTGAACTCCAGACCACATGGGTGGTTGGCAAGCGTTCTACCGCGCTGAACCACTGACGCACTGACACTAACTACTTCTTTAACATCTCTCAGTACTCTTTCAATTCGGATATGATTTCAGGCGACAGCGCCGATCGAGTGGTGATTTGGCGACTACTTCGCTACTACAGTGTGCCACCGACAATTATACATCTCATCCAACAGCTGTACGACAATGCTGCATGCCAAGCAATCCACAACGGGAAACTTACGGAATCCTTCGAAGTGAGGACAGGAGTAAGACAAGCTGGCTGCCTACTATCGCCAATGATTTTCCTGATTGCAGTAGATTGGATAATGCGACAGGCAGCGGGCAATGAGGAAACAGGCATAAAATGAACTCACACAAAAAACCAACTTGGAGGATCTTGACTTCGCCGATGATATATGTCTGATTTCCCACAAACTGGAAGATATGCAAGCGAAAAGCAACAAGTTGACAGAAGAAGCATCTGGAGAAGATAGGTCTTCAGGTGAACATAGAGAAAACAGATGTGATGAAGGTTCCTGGCCAACACCACCAACAGCAACAACAACAGACAACGATCAGCATAAATGGGAGGAACCTGAAAGAAACAACCTCTTTTCGACCGACCTGGGAAGCATCGTTTCAACAACAGGCGGAACTGGCGAGGATATCAAAGCAAGAGTCGGAAAAGCAAGACAAGCTTTCACTACTCTCAAGTCTGTGTAGAGGTCAACAGCACTCAGCATCAAAACGAAGATAAGATCCGGATTTTCAACTCCAATGTGAAGTCAGTCAGTGCTACTCACTATACGGATCAGAGACTTGGCCAGCGCGTCATAAAGAACATCTCAAACAAACTACAGACCTTCAGCAACAGTTGTCTTCGCTCAATACTCAAGATCAGATGACCAGAAATGATCAGCAACAGAGATCTCTGGCAATGAGCGAACCAACCAGGAACCGATTGTGAAACAATAGGCAGGAAGAAATGGAGGTGGATTGGCTGGCCATACTCTGAGGAAACCATCAAGTGACATCACTAGACAAGCCATTGCTCGAGTGGCATCCGAAAGGGAAGCGGCGAGTTGGTCGCCAGTGCAAGGGTGACTTGGAGGAGGTCATGTGAAGAGGAGATGAAAGCGTGTGGGCAGACTTGGAGCCAGGTGAAAACTCTAGGAGAGAACCGAAGGCAATGGAGACGTGAGGCTGAAACCCTATGTTCCTTTAGGAATTAAAGGAAACAATAATAATAATAATCAGGCATTATTTGAACTTTTATTCATCTTATTAAACAAAGGGTTTGTTTGCCAGTTTTATGAATAATTAATAATACTACTAATTCCATTAAATTAACAAATTTTAGATTTCCGGTGTTTTGTCAAAACATTTGGATATTCTGCTTACATGTCTAAGTGAATTAAACATTCAATCATCTTGCGTCGTAGCAGAGGATACCTGTCAATCATCGGAGAGATTAAAACGTGTCCTAGATTTAGCACATTCAACATCAAAATTACCAGATGAAAATTTTCTCAATCAAATACCTTCAACATCAACATCATCATGTGAATCATCTAAAAGTCTTCCTATAGAATATGATGAAAATCAAATCGAATTGCATATAATTCTACGCCTACTACCATTTCTACGTATTGCTAGCCTTTGTTGGGCACGTTGGCATCCAGAACATGTTGGTACTCTGAAACCATTAGGATTACCATTTGTTGGACAGTTAGCGAAATTATCTAATAAAAGTGTTGGTGGTGTGTCAATAGAAATGACTTGTATTACAAATGAAGTAAGTTGTCGAATATTACGTTAAGAACGTGTACTTGGAAAAGCTCATGGTTTTGATCTATAGAGCAGAGTTATTATTTTTTTTCTTGATATGAAATTCCATTGATATGTAGTTTAATAATAGATGAACAAAATAAGTGTGTGTGTGTGTGTATGGTAGATAAGCGCTTTTACTGATGTTTTGTGATATGCCTCACTAATGGTATAACGAAAAAAGTCTGAATAAGAAATCTACATTATTCAAACCAACTAATCGTTTGAAATAGAAAGTTCTTAAACATTAATGTGTAATGCTTCATGAGATTGTCCCACATCTGCTCACCTACTACTAGTTGATATAAAAGGAAGACAAAAGAATTTTACAGGTTGCAGTTTGCTATAATACAAAGTTTCAAAAAAATGAGCAATATTGATCACCCTAATATACTGAGGTTAGGCATCAGTTGAGTGCCAGGTAAGGATGGGAAATCAATCGACGAAGTTGTGACGTTACATCGATTGAGTTGGTTAGGAGATGTGTTACACATGCCTAGCCATCGCCTTCCTCCATGAGCAGTGGTAACTGATATAGAATGGATCAGGCGGGAAAAGAGGTAGCTAGTGGTGGTCAAACGAAAACATGGTTTCATCTGTCAATGAAATCCACGACAGTTAGTTTAAACCAGCGAGCGACGTCGGGAGGTATAGCTTGGCTAGTTTAGTTAGAGTCGTCGGGATGGTAGAAAGCAATGACTGCAGACAATTGGTGCTATGCCTCAAAATCGTTGTCAATGGCTGGTGCAGACGCATTCACTCGTTGTAATCTGTCATATCCACTAAAGCTCTATTGTTTTTCTAAATTACTCTTCGTTTTGCCCCACACTTCTGTTTATTATCTGCCTTTTGAATCTCTGTTTACTGTCTTCTCTTGCTCTGTGTGGTAGATGGAGGGAGTGTTGCAACTCGAACAGGTGGACATCTGTACAAAGTTCTACGTTGAAACCAGTCAATCAGTCAGTCATAATTTTATAGGTCGTGATTGACTGACTGGTTTCAACATAGAACTTTGCGCCGATGTGCAGCAGTTCGAGTCGCCACACTTCACTCAGCACACAAAACCAGAGAAGAAAGTAAAAAGAAACGCAAAATAGAGACAGTAAACAGAGATATGAGACATAAAGAATAGTAATATCGAAAAACAATATGATTTTATTGGAAATTATAAACCACAAGGAGTGGATGCATCTGCGCCACTGCGAACGATTTTGAGCCATATCACCAATTGTCTCCAGCCATTGGTTTTTATCATCCCGAGGACCTCAACCAGGAAGTCTACATCTTCCTACATAACTTAATCTAACGGTTGTGGATTTCATTGACTGATGAAGTCATGTTTTGATGTTACCACCACTAGCTTACTCTTTCCCAACCTGATCCATTCTGTGTCAGCTACCATTGCTCATTGAGGAAGGCGATGGCTAGACATGTGTAACACATCTCTCTAACCAGCTCAATCGATGTAACGTCACAACCTCGTCGATTGATTTTCCCTCCTTACCTAGCACTCAACAGATGTCTAACCTCAATATTATACCACTTCACACGTGAGATAGAACGCAGGCACGTATTATCAAAGACAACTAGCCTTTCACGTCTTCCACTTTCAATGGCCATGTCTCGCTCACAGTCATAAAGGAGGACGGAGCGGACTGCTGATTATAGGTCGTAGTCTGCTATAAAAAAAGAAAAGTAAAGTAGGAAAATGTTACAATCGATAACGTATATGAGCCTTTCCGCTCCACTATGCTCAATTCTAAGTAGTGAGGTCTACATTCTCTAACCACAGGTTTCCGTAGTCACAGGACCATAGACAAGTAATCTTCACTTCTCTCCCGGGTTCAGGCCAACAGCCGGTTACTTAACCGATTGGTATTTTATCTTAACCTGATTATTCGTGCCTGGTTCTTCCATCAAAATAGCATTTTGAGAAAGACATGCATTATGTATGGAATATTTTGGTTGACCCTCATTTCAGAGTCAAATGATATGACGAAACTCCTTTATCAACTGAGTCTAACGCATTCGTTATTATAGAAATCAGACATTCATAGTGTTCCTTACGTACTCAAGAAACGCATGTTTGCTTAAATATTTATGTTCTATTCTTTTGAATTATACATATTATTAATCCATTTTATTTCCACACCTGTCTTCTTTTTTGTTATTAACCAAACAACAGCAACGATTGGTTGAATTCAGTGACCTCTGTCGTATCTTATCTTTGGACTGTGGAGATAGTGTGGTAATAAATGTTGGACAGGTGGGCGAATTAGCTGGTACTTTGTGTGGATTGGCTGGAAGCGACAAAGGAAATGCTATACAGTATCTTATTAGACGATGGATAGGTCAAATAAAAAAAGCATCTGAAATCTCCTCATCTAATTCAACAAAACCATTAACGTCATCATCATCATCTCAATCACCATCATCAGTACCATCTGTTCTTGATACACCTTCACGCAGTGGAAAGAGAAGTAATAATAAAACTGCTGTCAATGAGTACATGGATATTCCACCTCTCGACAGTCTAAAATCACATTTTAAAACGCATATAGTCGATTATCTACTGGTATGTTTTGTAAATAGTATTTCGTAAAAATCATTACCATTATTTTTTAAACGATTAAGGTACCCATTAAGATGGTTGGTAATTAATTATCAGGTTCGAAAGAGGTGCTTATCACGAGTTCAATCCTACAGAGTTACAGTCGGGGCTTAAAAATAAAAGCTATTCTTTAATATACATCTTCATGAGATAGTTTCTCTTCTGACGTTCACGTCCTGGTGTAAGTAAACGTATCATAAAATTTATAGGAAAGTAAAATAACCAGCTGATAGATTTCATCAAATCGTCATAAACTATATGGTATGTTTTATAAAAAATAATATCCTACTAAGTAATACCATGGCCCTGGTAGATTGCTCGCCAACCACGCCACAGGCGGTTCGGGATTCAATCCCCGGCCGCCGCACTCCTTTACCTTGCTAAGCCAGTAAAAAGACTAGTAAAGAGGGAAGGTTGGATATGAGGCTAGCAACCCGATCCCGTAAAAATAAATGCCACCGCTACTGAAACTTCAAAGCTCTAGCTTGAAGCCCTATGTTCCACTGGGAACCTAAAGGAATAAGAAAAGTAATACCAACTGGCCTTTACCACTGGTGGTAATGTCGCCTATAGACGTCTAGTGCACGAGGTCATACATAATCTACTTCATAAATGTTAATTTTTTTTCACCTACCTCAAAATAATTCCTAATAATCGCATTTTTCACTTCTTTTATCGCACATCACAATACCTCCCCCCCCCCACCAATTCAGTTTAATTAATTGTGGAACATATATAGTCAGTTTTTGATTAGGTTGATGAGCGGTCATTTAAAATAAAGTTTTAAATATTTAAACGTTAGACAACTGTTTTTGGCAATCAAATCTCTGTGTAGTCATGACTGAAACAGTACTGTTAAGTTAGTAAATCAGAACATAGTCTTATAAACCCGATATAAATGGTATATACTGAAATAGTGTTGTCTTTGCATTTTAGTTGTTTCAAAATGTATTTATCGAATAATTCAAGTTAGTATAACTATGAAAAACTGCAATAAAGAGATTATTAGAATTAAAACAAAAGCATAGACGCTTTACTTAACTGAGTTACCAAACTCATTGACAGTTTCACTCAGTTGTCGTTATATAACCTGAATCATTTTGATTTATTTGTGTTCTTTGAGCTGGTTGGTTGAATTACGAAGCCTTTATTGTCCTTCTAGTTAACAACACCTGCTCTGAAGATATGTTGTCTAGAAGGACGACGAAAGCTTTGCAATTCAGTCAACCATCTCAGAGAACACAGCGAAATCAAAACCTTCCCCATGAGGTACAAATCACACATAACTGTTCACTACTATTGTTAAATAAGCTGTCAGTCGCTAGAGACTACCCATTTCTATGACTATAGATAAACTTTATTATAGAAAAATAATGAATATTATTCTTTTTCTGTTAAATTCATAAAGTACATTTATCAATTCATTATTTTTCAATATATAATCACTATAGTCATTGGTCGAAGTTGGTCGTCAATTGTATTCTCCACGTCTTATACGTACACCAGCATCGTTTGATACACTTTTCAATGCATTACATTTAGTCAATTGTACATCAAATCAACATCGTTTTCAAGAGAATATTCTCTGTTTGATCTGTGGACGTTTATTATGCAGCCTGTGCAGTAATTTAGCTACTGCTGTTGTTGAAGTAAGTGAAGTGATAGAGAGAAAACAACCCATTCTCCTCTGTTTGTGATATTGATAAATATGCTTCTTGTTTTTACAGATAGTTTCTTTATGTTACAATTATTCAAGGTGTCCACTCTCCCTAGTTTGTAGCCATTCAACTTATTATTATTATATGACTTTTCAACCTAGCAACAAACGCTACCATTTACTTATATCAAGTCAAGAGCTCATTACTACATTGCGTATACACACTATTTAGCTTCCATTTGTACTAATTTCACTCCCATACCAATTAGATTTTACCAGGTGGTGTTATTGCAAGGTGTTCGTGACCATGTTAACCATAGATTCCTAGAGTCTGCATTCTGTGTGAAAAGTATTACTATTATTCTTTTATTTCTTACATTGGACACTTGTATCGTCACTACTGGCACTTTTTTTGCTAAAGGATTCTAGAACTTCAGGGTTGTGTGTAACCACATACATAAACTCACACTATACGTGTTAAATTAATTTCCGTGCCCTTTAGTTGTCTTATTATCTTTCATTTGTACGCCTTTCAAGTAGTTAATAGTTATGGTTGCTATAGTATCATTAAGATGGTTCAATATGTAGACGTTACACCAGCGTGTAAGCTGTGTTAAACTTGAGGACTAATTTTTAAATTAGATAGATAGATAAAAAAAGTGAACGTGAGGATGTATATTGATTAAGATATATGTGTATTTTTTTAATGTGGTTGCGTTCTCTGAGCTAGGTCGTTTAACTGCAAGGTTTTCATTGACCTTCGAGATAGCATCTTCAATATGCAGTGAACTTATTTGAATTCTTTATGAATGATATAATTGTATCTTCTAACAATCTTTTGTCGTTATCGGTCGTTAATTTGTATCAGTATTGATTGTTTTTATCGACAATTATATCATTCATGGTGCCTTAATGGTCTACAAGCTCGCCTTGAAACCGTAAGGTCCTGGGTTCGGACCCCAGTGTGTGTGAACTGATGAAGAGTCCAAAACTAGGACGAAACAGCTGTCCAGTACTCCCAGGTTCTCTATCCGATGTCGGTTCATGATTTGAATCCTGAAACAAAAGACAATAATAGCTTCATAATTTTAAACCACTCAGCTCAGAGAATGCAACCACATCAAAATCATCCACCTAAGCTACTCATTTACCTCGTTTTTAAATATTGTATGCAATAAAAGTAGAAGATGATAATTTGGGACTGTAGTCGTAAAATGTTGTTATTTGACTACATTTATTGATTATCTTCTTCATAAATCCAAATGCATATATGTATACGTTTATTGACTTTACACAAATATATTTTATTTATAAAAAAAAAATAGATACATGTACTAATACATTGGTTAGTTGTATTTTGAAAACAAAAAAAAATGAAGTAAAAAATAGAGGTTATCCGTTTTCTCTTGTGAAAACGGTTAAATAATGTGTACAATTAATGGCTTTGGTCTTATCTTTCTCTATCTCTCTCTCTGAGGAAATGAACACTAATTTTTTGCTATCAGTTTTGAACATTATACAATAGATTGTGATAATCAGTATGAAATGAAATAGGCGCAAAATAGAGTGTTAAGAGTATACACTTTCAAAGTATCTATCTCATCTTTGGATTGGATTTCTCCCTCCCTCTTTCTCTCTGTACTATTTGTACGCCTTAGTTTTCATTTTACGCATCGCCTTTAGGTTTCATTTCTTGGTCGTGAAACTTTTGAATCCCATCGCCTAGGCTGTTGTTTTTATCGATCGAAAAAAAAGACAAATAAACAAATAGAAGATGATTATACATAAGATTACAGTTCATCCATATAGTCTTAGCTTCAAAAGATATATATATGTATGCATAAAAGAATACTGTAATAATAACTGATTCGCTTAATTATATACCGGTTATTTGTCATGAAAATTGCATTATAATAAATAAACTGCAATAGTATATCAAAATACTAATGATAACCGATACCTGATGGATTCGCCAATGATCTACATTCATTCACTTTTCTTCAATTATTACTACACAGAAATAGGCAATCACAGTTAATATAGATAGATAGGTATTGTAGTGAATAAAGAGTTTGATAAGGAGAACAGAGAAACTACAAACAACCATCGGCTAATTTTCTTCTATAACTAATCAATACCTAATATAAATAAAAGGGAATTTTTATTTCTGCATGTGTGTGTGTGGGGTGTTTCTGGAGTGCTTCAGACATAATATCGAGGAGGGGATAGCCAGTGCTTTTTTACGGTGATTTTTCAACCAGCATTTTGGTTAACTCGTGTTTACAGACTGGATTTAATCTGAATGGATGGATGGTGATTAGAGAATCTTAAAAGATTGTAGCTGTGTTGTTACGTAATTAAAACCACGAGCCTTATATGTCCAAGAATCGACTGTTACTGATTTTTTTAAAATAATTTGTTTATGCGTGTATTATTTTGGCCATTTTCGTTTTATATTCTTACGAATCATTACGGAACAGCTAAACGCCTTGCTGGCGAGTGCCAACAAGCACGAAACCTGTGCCTAAGGCTTTCTGACGATTACCTTTAACCACCTAGTAATAACAATCTCTGAGTGTACGATGATGGCGAGCAACCTAACATGGTGGCCACATTGCAAACTGGACTGATAGAATTCAGTCTGCATTAAACAAAGGACTAGACACATGACACCAGTTAGTATCCAATCAAAAGTATCTAATACAGTCCTACAGGAGGTCAATCGCAAGTTCGGGTAGTTCATTGGTAACGTCTCTGACTGCAGCACTGGGTGACACAGGTCTGAATCTCAGAAGGGACATGAGTTCCTTCAAGGTTGCAGATACGCCTTGCTGACGAGTGCCAACAAACACGAAACCTGTGTCCAAGGCTTCCTGCCGATTGCCTCCAACCATCTAATAACAACAAAAGTTTTTTTATTTTAAGAACATCTGGAAGACAGTTACTTGATCTATAACATACTTGCAATTTTTAATAGTTTTTTGTTTAGTATTTTGAATGTTTAGGCGAGATGAGTGGTTTCGAAGTATGGAAAAAGAATTATTATATTCCCTGTACTGTATTTGTTTTGTATATTCCTCTTTGTAGCACACTGTTCTATGTGGTGGTTTCTCCGGTGTAGTACTTGAAGTAAACACATCAATTGTCTATGTCTCGCTTGGACCTAATATCTGTGATTGGGGTTCAGTGTATTTGGATGAATATGGTGAAGAAGATTTAGAATTAAAGTAAGTTATTCTTATTGTTTCGCTTGCGTCGTTATACACGACTGTTAATATTCGTACTTGGAACTCGAAAGTATTAAAGAATCATAAATGTTTACTGTTGTTGTATTATTTAATTTTAAATATTTCATTTTCACCCGTTCTTTTACTTACAAACAAAAGTAATACAAGGCTTAGACTATTTGTGATTGTACTGAGGAGACTTTTTTTGTATACGTAGCGATAAGGTCATTCAGTCATCTATTGTGATTGATATATTTCCTGTCCAACTCATCTGTCCTCATATATTCTTTTTAACTAAAAAGCTTTTCAAATGGCTGCTCAGTTCATTCGTCTCATTATTTTACATTACATATCGAGTATTAAGAAGTATTTTCCCATCGAGTTTAAGTGATTGAAAGTAATAGTCAGGAAATCCTGCATGCCTCTTTGGAAATTCAAATCTGTCTTCTTCTTCTAGAGATTTACTCGAAAACTATCGGTTCGAAAGCTGAATTTTCAATCTTTGTATGTCACTCTAAGCAGTTAGGTGGATATGTTTAATGTGTATGTGTGTTAAACGTGCAACGTACATAGCTCTACTTAAATAGATATTATGTATTTAACAATTCATCTTTAGGAAAGATTATGTAAGAAGCTATAAAGCTAGTACATCTGTTTATTGTTTCCAACAAAACATTACAATGAATATTAAACACAATTGAATAAAACAAACTTACAGACAATTAATTAAATTTTGATTTACCTACAAAACTTTCTTTTCAGTGTAAAATTTAACATCGAAATGACAAAAACTTTTCTTTTTGTTTTGTAAAACATACGTGTATGTAGAGTGAATACTCGGTAACCGATATGATCAACAGTTTCATTACATTTTATACACAAATTAGAAATACAGCTAAATTAATTAGCAGATCGACTGCTTAGTGCTGGCTGGCTGGCTGGATTCAACATAGAACTTGGCACCGAAGTGCAGCAGTTCGAGTTGCCACGTTCCAAAGAGCACACAAAGGTAGACAAGAAAATGAGTGAAGAGAATCGACCGAAAGCTGCTACCTTGACGTGGTGGTCGGGCTTGCATATCGCAATGACCCAACGAGCTACACTGGCTGGAAATTATGTACCTGTAGGTCCTACCATGCCATAAAGGTTGTTTGGATAGCGGCTAGACAAAAAGCAGCTACCCAATCCAATGCTATGACTCAAACAAAATCACAAAGTATCATGCCGAATCGGTCGGGGCCCGGATTAACAACGACCGTGCTTCCTGCTGCCGTGTCACAGGGCAGAAGTGATAAATATGCTACTGATACACACCAAATAAAAAAAGAACAAACACTGCTCAGTGCGTGTCTCAAATATTCGACTTTTGACCAGTGAATAGTCATGGGTGTTGTATGAGTTTTGTTCCCAACTAATCAAGATGTTCGAACTAGTCTAGTGGATGTGGTCCTATTCAATATTGTATCTGTTTTACACCGAATTTCATTCTAATGTATTTACTCAATAATAGGTGACAAAAAAATGACTGACTGACCTTAACAACGTAGAAGTTAGCACAGAATTGCATATAAGCCTAGCGTGTCAAAGTTCAAAAAAGCACATATACAAACAAGTAGAGAAAATCAATGTAATCGAAGTACAATATGTAATAGAGATATACAGGAAAGGGAATAATGATTAAATGAAGATAAGTGAATATAATGAAAAATCTGAAAGATGACAAAATATGGAATATAGCTGTGCCGTCGTAAACAATTTTGAGTCATATCCCAAATCCTTTAGCCACCAGGCATCGTGAGGATCTCAGTCTGGCAATTTATCAAATGCCGTGTAATGTTTACGAGGTCAAATACATACGTTAAATTTGTTGATCAGTCATAGTATCTAAAATAACATATACCTTAATAAGTATCCTAGAAAAATACCTAGTCATTGCTATACATTCACTTATATACAATCATATCATACAGTAGGATAGGGGAGGGAAAATTATTCAGAAGTAATTATTAGTTTGGCATAATTTAGTCACTGAATCCTTGTTCTTCAAATCAACACCCAATATGTGTGTGTAATAGGAATAGCGCGATATTTCTGAATAAATGGGGAACTTTACTAAAAAAAAACAGCAGGGGAGTGGGACTGTTTAAAACAAGTTAGGAAGTTATGTAAATACTTTGATATGATTATGAGCAATAAATTATACTGAGAACGTCATTCAACTGAGTATAGTGTTTCACTGTGTTATATCAAAAACTTATCTATTATGGAATCCACACCTGCTTATATTTCTCAGGCAAACAGTCAATGACTCGGATTTTCAACATTAATTTCGAGTCAGAGACTTGGCGCATCAGGAGAAACATTTACAGCAGGCTGCAGCTGCCTTCATCCTAAGCTGAAAATCAAATGGCCAGAAAGAATGAGTAACTCTTGCAACGAACTAACCAAGAACCTATTGACCAACAAATATGTCGAAGAAAATGAAGATGGATCGGACACGGAAAGATCGAACGACCACTGAGTGACATCGTGCACTAGGCCTTCGAGTGAGGAACGATGAGTCAGACGTCTGAGGGTGACATGCAGGAGAAGATGAATGTCTATGGGTAATCATGGGGTCAGCTAAAGATGGCTGCAGAAAGCAGGATGAAATGGAGATGTGCCGTTGAAGCTGTACGAACCACTCGGAACCTAAGGGGATAATATTATAATAATACATGTAAATCTCCTCAGACCTAATCCTACCGTGAATAACTGACCTTTTTGTCTTGTAGGGAAATTCGTCACAGTATAACTTGCCATATCACTGTTTTGTGTAAGCTCAATCATCACATCAGGGTAACAATCCTAGTTGGAGTTCTTCAGTCAGTTGCAACACGGTCGTAGATATAACTGTCAACGGATGTTGATAAATTTATCTGAGTCCGTTATAAATTTACTGGATGCATATCCTTATGCTCTAGCATAAAAGAGTGTGCAATTTTTCAGTCACAAGTTAGAAACTTTTGTACAGACACTAATGTTTAGGTATAATTCTTAGCTTGGTGGATAAACAGTTCAAAATGCACTCATTAAATATTATTTGTTTGTACTCTTTTGTCTATCCCTTGTATTACAGACGTGGTAAACCGCTGTTTTTAAATGCTGAACGATTTTCACTTCTGGAAAACCAGTGGATAACTCATTCATTTCGTCATGTGTTAAAAAATTGGCGTGCTGTCTAAGAGAAGAGAGTGAGTGAGGTGATGCTGTCGAAAAAAAAGAGAAGTTAACCAGTTTCTTTCATTGTCTCTAAATCTTCACCAGACACACATACACAAAGATACTGCCAGTTGACAACTGTTTCAAGTCAAATTTTGAATGTGTTTCTGTGTGTGTGTGTGTGTGTGTGTACGCAACATATGCAGGAGCTACAACTTCGATTTCCTTCTTCACTCTCGTCAGCTTAATTCATTACAACCTTCTCACGATCATTTTATCTTAAAAGTTAACAATATGATACATGTCAAGTGATTCAGTCAACATATTCAAACCGATACACAAGTACGCACGCACACACACGCACATGAACACAATTTCACATTGTTTTTCTTAGTTTTCACCGTTTTGAAATTTGAATTGCCTTTTTATTTCTAATCATACTGTGATGATGTGTTTAATTAATGTCTAAATGAAATGGAATGACAAAATGTGAAATGAAAACTCTCCACACATGTGCGTATTTGCCTGTTAACCACATAAATGTTATCTTACTGTTCATTGTCTAATTAACTAGAGATGCAGATATTTCGAGGAATATGCTTCCTTGTTCTTTTATTCGTTGCCATCACTGATTACTGTTTATTATAATGACAGAAATAGGTTCCCCCCTCCTCCTTCTCCTCACTTCCCTGTTTTATTCTTTTATTTAGTTGAGACATAAAGCGTTGTCTCCATTCTTCCATTAAATTTTCCTTCCTACTTGCTTTACTCTTCTCACCATCTCTTCATGGGTAGATTGCCTAACGAACTGATGTGGAGTTCTCTATTGTCTCTATTGTTTCTGTCTAATGATTAACAAATTTTACTTGACTGTGGTATAAATAAAAACTAGAATATGCAATAAACGATTATCTCAACTGGGGAAGAAAAATGATAGTTTCATGTGCGAAAAAATGCTAAAGAAAAGGAGTCTGTACCAAATAGCCTCATTTTATATTTGTTATGTTTTTGCTTGCCCCTTAGAGACTATTCATCATCTTCTTCTTCTTCAATAACTACCTGATTACTTTTCATTCACTCATCATCAACATCATTATTCCTCTCTTTCGTATACTTGTCTAATTAATTACTCTGTCTATGTATATGTCAGAGTGTGTTTATATGCATGCACATGTGTGTGTGTGCGTGTGTGTTCACTACTCTCTCGTGCAAAAGTAACCAGAGGAGTTTCAGCGACGTCTTGAAAAGAACTGTTGAGTAAATACAGGTGTGTAGGTTGATGATATACATCACTTACAGTCACTACTACTACTAATGTTATTGTTTATTTTTTGCATCTCACTTTAGTCCATTGCCTTTTTGATTCTCTACACTACACACACAGTTGTCGTGAGATATATATGCATAGGTTGTATTACACTCTTTGTTCCCTTATCTCTTCTTATCAGCGTCATCATTCCTTGTCAATGTCATCATCGGTTTACTGATTTATTAAAACATTCGTTCATTCATTCAATCAATCTAAGTTACAGTCCATAAATCCAATCGATCTTCTTTTTTTCTTTCAGAATTTGGGTTCTATATAAAAATAAACAAATGTGAATATTTCACGCACAAAAAAAAATTTGTTCGACTTCCTTTGTTTTGCCTTCGGAATGATTATGATAATAAATGTTTGTTTCCTTGTTCCTATAATGCCGTTAGATGTTGAGTGAAATACTGGGAAATACTTTTTGAACAGAGAAAGAAAGAAAAACCATTGGTGAGGAATAACATGGATCTCCTTTCGCATACAACCTATAATCTTTAATGAATAAAAGTCAGCGTAAAATTTAACATACTTTTGTCTACTAATAAGCATATTATAGGGGTGTCATGGTGAGATAAAATATTAGGTTAAAGGTGCCAAGCAGTTTAAGCTCTTCAATTACCGAACACACCTGATAGACACTGGACACCGAGTCGACGCGCTGGCATCATCCAAAATAATTAACAGATAAAAAAGCTCAAGTTTTCTTGGGTTTGCTGAAGCTATCGCAAAAAAACGGCTGAAACCTGATCTACGCGTCTAAAAGGAATCTGCCGTTGAACTCCAATTACCCTGGTGAAGCATCCCGTAATAACTCTTTGTTTTCTAATTTCATTAACTTATCTTTTCAACGCCTCCCACCACCACTCTTTTTTTTCTGTTTGACATCCAAAGGAGATAATTCTTCTTGACCTTATGAGTTCTACTCACCATATTACATCATCATCTTTTCATCTGACCTCTTGCACACCAAATTTTGATCTTCTCTTATCTAACTGTGTAATTGTTACTAATTTTTGTTACAAACTTGTCAATTAATTTTCGAGAAACTTCTCTCTAACAAGATATATAAATATAATTACACTTCAGCTACCTTGTCATCCTGATGTTTCATCTCACCATGACACCCGTATAATATGCTTATTGATAGACAAAAGTATGTTAAATTTTAAACTGACTTTTATTCATTAAAGATTATAGGTTGTATGCGGCTGATGAGAACTAACAAAATATGAAATGGATCCATGTTATTCTGCACCAATGTTTGTTCTTTCTCTGCACAAATTTATAAAGAGTAATTCTTGTATAAAAATACTCTATTTGAGAAATGATGCTTGTAGAGGGAGGGGGGGTTCTCCTCTACAATTAATACAAAGAGATTTCTCTACTTTTTGGATAAAGACTGTGACGATGAATGACAGATTAGTTCGATAACAAAAAAAGCCTCACTTTACAATGTATATACGTGTTCAGGTGACATCGTGTGTTGATAGTTTGTTGATCACAACACTGTCTACTTTAAAAGTACTCCCCTCGTGTGATGATGCTTCACCAAGAGAGTTCCCTTTTAACTGAGTTATTAGAAGTTTGATAGTTATGTCTTATTTGTGTTGTTCATGGAAAATAAGCAACTGATAACAGAGGCCTTAAATGAGTGCTCAAAGGCATATATCTCCTTAATCTATTAGTTTTACACAGATATTAGGAAATAAGAAACTAGAGACATATATCTTGTATAAGAAAGATGAATAGTAATATATCCAGTCATAAAGTGACCAACAGTTCAGTCTTTACACTTAAAAGAATTTATCAACAACCTATATAATATTTCGTTTTACAAACGAAGGCAGACTGATTAAATTTCATTGACAGCAATTAGTTAAATTCAAAGATTACTAGATAGTTTAGGACCCCTAAGCATTGTGCAGTTTCAAACTCAGGTCAGTGAGGCCAAGCATTGTAACAAGACGAAGGATGACACGAATTCAGTGATATGCAGTTCTGTAATCACCTGTTTAATTTAAACCGCCTAAAACCACCTACAGTGCGTCGGTGGCATAGTAGTTAGGACGCTCGCCGACCATGCACATGGTCCGGGGTTCGATCCCCGACCGACGCACTCCTTTACCTCGCTAAACCAGAAATAACGCTGGTGAAGAGGAAAGGTTGGGCATGAGGCTAGCAACCCCATCCTGTAAAATAAACACTGCTACAGAAACTTCAAGCCACTAGCTTGAAGCCCTATGTTCCACTGGGGAACGTGAAGGAAATAAAAAACCACCTACATATTTCACTTGTTTTTCATATGTAATAATGCATAATTGGTAGGAAAACTTTTAAATAGAAGACGACTGTGATGAAATATGCATGCATGTGCCATGTGTTCATTACTCCAATGTCAAATCTTATAAATTCACAATGTTAAATTTCTCATTTGCCAGCTTATATATATATCCTACAAATCTGAAATTTACACCAAGTCAATATCATCAGTTTTCTTAAAATGTCATCACATTATGCTACTACTACTACTATAATAATAATAATAACAATGGTTGTAATAATTAAATATGGAAAAAATAAATTTTCTATTTATAGGTATACTAACCAAACAGACTTACCATTAACTACTAAACACACATATGAAAAAATTTCTTCACTTCATTGTATTTCTGAAAATATACATAATTTACAGGAAAATTTTGAAAAAGTGAGGCGAAAAAGATAACAGAAGGAGAAAACACAGTGGACAGTTAAAATGCAAGAATAGCCATGAAACAAGAAGAAACATTTTGTTAGATATGAATGAAGCTTGTGAATTGGTCAACGGTCATAGTCCTAGCTCTCTCTCTCGCTCGCAGTGAACACTGATACACCCATATGTTAAGCGTTTAGTTTAGTCACTGAAATAATTTACCCAAGAGGACAATGTTGTTTGTGTAATGTTAGGAAGATATTGACAAGTTGTTCTGTTGGAATTCATCAACTCATCGAAATTCATGTTCTTTTTCGAGATTCGAACTCACATCACTGAATCCATGGATTTTACTACTGATTAAGCTACTCAGATCACAAGTGTATGACTAGATTATGCATGATTAAGATGGTCACTGGATATTGAGTGTAGTATGATGCTAAACATTTACAACTTCAATTCTGATAGCCTTATTGTCTTCTGTGAGTCTGAGGTTTACCAGGTCGAGCTTTCTACATCAGTTTACGCATCATGTTTTATTAAATAGGACCCCGTTGGCTTATGCATTAGAAATAATCCATGAATGTCTACTAAAATAGCTGTCCAATTCCAAGTGTTACATAAATTTTATCGATTACAAAACTGAAATTTGACTACTGGGCTAAACAACCTTAAAAAACGAGTGTTAGTTGATGTGGAAGCCTGTTGTACTCCTCGTTTCCAAAAAAAAAAATCAGAAAGGTCATTCGTAAAATAAATATGTTTGATAGAGATCACCATGGCCTCGGAAGTAAGAAGGAGAAAAGTTTTGTGGTGGCTAACTACACTGAACTCTTGGCTTGGTTGTCACATTGTTTACCTAATAGATACAGTTTATTTCAGAGCTAAGAATGTGATTATTATTATTGTTCGTCCTTTGCATTTCTTGTGGAACCTAGGGCTTCAGCAGCGGATCTTCATTGCATTCTGTTCTCTGCTATCTTTTTAGCTGGCTCCACATTCGCCTTCAAGCTATTGTT